TTTTTTTAAGTTATAATTATTTAGATAAACTGTATATTCCTCAAATGTTTTAGAGGTTTTTTTTAAATATGTCTAAGGGGTTCTACAAAGTGTCCTTTGTAGAACCGCAAAACATTAATAGAAACCCATAAAAATGAATAAAATCTACGATAAGTTACGTAAATTTTACGTGAGTTAATGCTGAGATTGTTATTCAATTTTTTTATATTAGCGTCATCGGTTGCAAATATTCAACTTGATTCTCTCAGACGTTGCGAAACCTGACATCTCTGATATTGCGAAACCTGTATTTTGGCATAGTTTATCTTTATTTTACAGTAAAAAATATAAAAAAGAGAAATAAAGTGTAAACTTTATAAACATACATAGTATGAATGAAATATACATAGGTGGTAAACCATAATTTAATTTATATTTTGTTATATTTTAATTTCATATTAAGCTCTAAATTTAAAAGTCAAATATTATTATATTATCATCGCTTAGTTATATAACTTTTAACTTATTATATGACTATACTCATTTTATAACTATGCATAATATTCCTGTTAAATTAGAAATCTTTGATTCACTCACATAACAAAAAAATTCAAAACTTTATTTATAATTTGATCACGTTTTATTCTGAAATTTTGCTAGGTACTTACATAAACGTGTGCAGACACGTGAATACGGCTGCGTGACGTAAAAGTATTCATTGTAGAAAATGAATGAATAATTCTGGTCAGGTGTATTTGTAATCTTATTTATTTTGTAAGTATTTGTATATACATATATAGGTACAGAAGTACAAAAACGTTTCTTTTTGAGTAAATATTGTATAGATACAATGTGACCTTGATCAAACCAATCTTGTTAGCCTCCAGTACAGGCGCAGAGTGGCAATCCTCTTTGTGATGTTTAACATACATTCCAGATAGTGTGCACAGGAACTAGGTACTTAATTTAATTTCTCCAACCAGACCGTTGGCGGGTCTCCATCACTTCGTTGTCAATATTTCACGAATTCGAACCAAACCGTATGCCTTGTTTTTCCCAATGCATAAAAAGTCGTCCGATTACAATCAGAGCAACAGTGAATTGACTTTTGTTACATTAATACAGCGTGGCTTACCATCTAGGACTTCATCACCGCTTACTATTTCCAGACCTAGTACCATTGACAGATTAGTTGGTATGCATCTTTGAAAGTTTTTCAATACAAACCACGCTGTACGGAAAGGTCGGTGAGCGTAGAGCCAATACTGATACAGTAGCATTACTGCTCTCTGAGCAATTTTAATCAACCCCCCTCCAAAATTTTGACTGCTGAAGATGTAGCGCGAATGGGTTAGCTCGAGCGGGATGGACCACGCTCGCACAGGCCGACACGATTTTGTTCAGGCATTAACGATTTATTATATCAGATAAGCGTTAGTTCCAGCAAGATGATCGGCATATGCACCTGATTCTTTGTCGTAGATAACCTAAATCAGAAAAATATCAATGGGACGCGAATACTTAGAACTGAAAACGTACCAATATCCTTTTTTGTTTGAAGTCGTTTGCAGATACCCCAGGGCTGCAGAGACACTTATCATTAGGGCTCATTCGATTTTTTTTAAAAAACGTTACCCCTGCTCTAGGATTTTGCCATGTATCGTGGAGTCAGTTTACAAACATAAATTGCACGAGGACAAACATCCAGGCCCGGAACAGTTATTTGTAGGCCATACAAACACTTGTTCCGTGTGGGATTCGAACCCGCGGCCCCAAGCGTAACAACTCAATCCTAAGCCACTGCGCCACTGAACATCATCTTCTCTTGATTAAATTAATCGTATCATAAGTAATTATATTCGAAACACCGATGCCGTGGTCAACATAAACCGGAAACTAAGGTACTATTAGAAATAGTAGAAACATCTCATACTAATAATAAATTAATTAATGACTATAAGAGAATGATTGCTAAAATTTAAATAACGATGAGAAAGTATGGTTTCTTTGGGTTTCTAATAATTCTTTCTTCTATAGGAGCAAATGAGCATGCGGCTCACCTGATGGTAAGTGATTACCGCCGGCCATGAACAACCGCAACACTAGGGGAACCAGGGGAATTGCAGATGCGTTGCCGGCCTTTTAAAAAGGAGTAGACTCTTTTCTTGAAGGTCCCTAAGTCGTATCGGTCCGGAAAAATGGCTGATGGTAATCGATTCCACATGGAAGTTGTGCGAGGAAGAAAACATCTTCTAAATCAGTGATGGACCGCCAATCATCCAGATGGCTTAGATAGTATCGGGAGTTCTGCCTCAAAGCACTCCCCGTGGTTAATGCGAAAGAAAATGTAAAGGGGCATCCCTTTCAACATCTCTTCGCAGCGCCAATGAATCGAGCCGATCGGAAAGGACTCGGTCGTCAACGATTCGAGCTACTCTGCGCTGGATGCGGTCAAGTGGAAGAAGTTGGCACTGGAGAGCCCCGGCCCAGAGATGGGAACAGTATTCCGTGTGAGGCCGAACCTGCGCCTTGTAAAGTAGCAAGCGTTGTGCCGGCATGAAATACTGTCCCGCTCTGCTGAGCACGCCAAGCTTTTTAGAGGGCAATTTGGCCTTCCCTTTAAAGTGACCACGAAACTGCACACTATGCGATATGTCGATGCCGAGGATTCCGATGCTAGATGAGGCAGCAAGAGGAGTGTCTTGAAACTGAGGAGATACGACAATGGGGTTTCATTTTAGCCGTAAACGCGCAAACTTGTGTCTTCTTAGGATTAAACTGGACTAGATTTAGTCGCCTCCAATCCGAGACTTTGTTCAGCAAAGACTCGACTTCAGACACAAGTTTGTTCCGGTACTCAGCGACGTTTTCCCGGGAAATATTGGCACGGCCGGTATATAGAGCATCACCAGTGCTGTCATCCGCATAGCAATGAAGAAACAACGTTGGTGATAACACACAGCCTTGTGGAACACCAGCGTTAATAGGCTTGTAGTCGGAGCATGCACCGTCTACAACGACCTTGATGCTCCGATCTGCAAGGAAGCTGGTGATCCAATTGCACAATTTCTCGGGAAGCCCATAGGAAGGGAGCTTCAAAAGAAGCGCTTTGTGCTAAACCCGATTGAAGGCCTTCGCAATGTTCAAGCTAACGGCCTTGGACTCTACTGCCTGAGTGTATGAATGAGTCAGGTAGATCAGAAGATCACCAACTGATCGATCCCGACGAAAACCGTATTGGCGGTCACTAATCAGCTGGTGATCCTCAAGGTACCGCATGAGCTGGCAGTTTATAATAGATTCCATTATTTTAGAGAACAAGGAGGTGATGGCGATAGGCTTGTAGTTGGACGGGATTTAGTTGCAAGCCTCACAAAGCGCGAGCGTGTGGGAGTGTTCTACTCTCGACGTGCCGCTATGTGATGATTATGCTATACAAAATTGTCAGTATGTCTCAATTTAGACACTAAATAAATAAAAAAGGGATGTTTTGAAAACCAGATATATTAAATTATAAAGTCAGCGTATTTTTTTTTGTTTAGTTATATTTATAAAATGTAGTTAAAAAGTTAGTAGTACGGCTGTCAGTTAGTCTGTGCACTTGTTTGTCTTTACGTTTCAGAAAAATACCTTTACGCAACGAAATGAAATAAATCTTTCTGAATAAGTTTCCATTTATCCTCTGGATGATTCCTATTACTTATTACTTATTAAAGATATTTTTTCAAAGTTTGATGAAAAAAATAAATGTAAAAAAAACAATAGGCATTCACTTTTGAATTATCCAAAATATTTTTCTTTTCTTTTCCTTCGATCAGTACACATTACACTGTTAACAAAAATTTTAGGTTTCCCTACTACACTACCATTTTTTTCTGTATCGTGTAGGTGTACATGCCTAAAATAAAATATTTATTTTACTTCCAGTATGATTTTTGTATTCTATTAAACTAATACTGTTCTGTATAATGTATAAATATTATTAAAATATAAGCCTCTTCTTAAATAATAAAAATGCTCAACTCAATTAGTAGCCTTGGCACAAAAACTGATATGAGATTTTGTTTAACCCACTTACATTTAAAAAAATTAACATATGTTGTTTAAACTGGTATGATGTATGATGCAGTTCTCATTTCAAGGTCGTAATTTACAATTTGGAACAATAATATCTTTTATAAAGCTAATTTCGGCGCAGCCGCCCACTAGAAAAAATACTTAAAGTGCATTATCAAACACAAGGTAATTAATCCGTTCTATTCCCGTGATATATATAGAAACTAGCTCCTCGTAACTGTTTTCGAAATTATAGGAAGAATTCATCTTGTCTTGGAAATAACTATTCATATTAAACTTATGTATATATTTTTTATAACGGAAATCTAAAGTAACAATACCTTTATACCCTTCATTGCTTAATACAGGCCTTCTCTCATTCATCACAGGGTTTTAGGACAAAGAAGAGTCTATTGCGGTGCCTTAATATGTTTTGGCATATTTTACATGCCTACGACATTTTTTAATTTCTTAGACATGCAGGTTTCTTCAAAATGTTTTTTTTCAACGTCGTGCACATGATACATCAGCACTTGAAATTGCGAATAACAGTTTTGGCAGTGCTGCCTGGGATTGAACTCAGATAGCTTGCTTACCATACTCTGACTTAGTGAGACGATCGGTTATCTCCTGGGCTACCATGGGGTACAGGTACAGGAAAGGGTACAGGTTCTGATGAATGAGGTGAAATGTTTCACACCCTATAATTAATCTGACTTACTTAAAACTACAATAAATAGTAAAGTAACACTTGATGGAGTGGCGATTTGAGGAAACCAGCAGGGAGTTGATGGATGCTGGTGCAACCCATTGGGGAGGCCTATGTTCAGCAGTGGTCTTGTGATGCGATGTAATGACGACTATTATGATGTTATAATAAAACATTATGTTACTTAAAAAATATCATAATATATAGGTATAAATTTTATTCAATTTATTATGTTTTATATTACGACAGTCCATACCTGCGAGGCAATACTCCGTAATCGACTAACTTGTGGGATTATTTGTTCGATTTGCACGTTATGCACCATTTTTAATTATTTATTACACTTGCTTAGTAATAAAACTGTTTAATATAAACTACAAATTAATTTAGATATTATCTATCATAATATAGCATTTATTTTATTGTACCAAATAAGTATATTATTTTATTTATACTGAATTTATATTGCACTTAACACGCTGCTTAAATAATTCTTTTTTAATTTACCACGGAGTATGAATAGAGACACCTGTGTCGTTCGAGCAATTGTATAGAATGCTGATAAAATCACTCTCGTCGCAGTATCTTATAAGCAGAAAAAATATTCACTGCTTATAAAATACTGCGACGAGAGTGCTTAATATTTTATATTTGAAGTCATAAAACTTTATCTTCCTAAAAATCTATACATATAAAAAAATGCAAATTACATGAGGAATAAATTTTTAACCAGTTGTATGTTAATCCTATGAATTTATTTGTCTTAAATTTGAGAACGACCTTTTAAGAAGTAGCAAAAACCTGTATTGTCTTAAGCATAGCCTTATGGTGTTATGAAATTGTTTCTTTTTCAGTAAATAATAGTTTAAATGCTTTCCTATTTAAGACTGTCATAGATAAGGATGAGCGGGGACTCCTGACACAGGTTTTCTTTTAAAATAACTAGGATGAGCCATTTATTGTATCGTTTAAGTTTGTAATCTTAAAGAAATGAAGCAATTATTTATCTATATATTTATAAAAATATCTGTTGAATGTTCATTCGTGTCGATCGTTGAAAGGTTGCATGTGCATAGGTTTATACTTTACTTAACGTTTACATAATCTTATTGTTCATTTATTTATACCATGTACTTAAATATATACTAAAAACCTAAATAAATTTACACAAACATTATACGTCAGAATGACATTCATAAAGAATTAAAGAATATGATACTTTGTTCTGTAATGAGTTTTTGTTGTTAATGTATTTTGTAATTATGATAAGAAGTCAGTTAAAATACTTTTATGGGGAACGAGTTATACCAACGAACGGTGAACGAAATAATTAGAACGTTCATTTTTTTCATTTAAAATAATTCAATTAACAAATAAAATTTTAACAAGTGATAAAATTAAAAATGTTGTATAACCGACTTCAATATAAATAAGAACATCGTCAATGTAGTTGAAGTAAATTAAATATGCATTATTAAGGATAACTCAAAAATTACAGGTCTGATTTTGTTCAAATTTATATGGGACCACATAAGAAACACCACATTCAACCAAGAATAATCAAAAACGGTTCACCTAAAAAAAGTTCTTAGATAAGACACAAAAAAAATAACAGTCGAATTGAGAACCTCCTCTTTTTTTTTTGAAAAAATCGTTCGTTGAAAAAATCCCATAATGCCTTTAAGGTTGAAGTGATAATTGAAGAATTGGCTGATGGCGTTGAAATGCATTATATCCATAAGTATTAACGAAGAACATTGTTGCAAGACTTGACAAGAAATATTACGATACACTTAACCGAGTAGCTACACGACAAAATATTTTAAGACCTTTAGTTTTTTTTTTTTATAGAAATAAGACTTAATAAAGCATGAAAGCAGGTAAGGCAGCCGGATATGATAGAGTATCACTCGAAATGCTAAGGGCTGGTGAGGGTGTGGTTGCAGGCCTGCTGCACACCTTGTTTAATTTATGTTGGGAACTGAAACGGGTACCGGAAGACTGGTGCAAAGCCGTAATAGTCCCAATATATAAGGGAAAGGGGTCGCAGCAGGACTGTAAAAACTACCGTGGTATCAGCTTGCTTAGCATTGTGGGTAAACTGTATGCTAAGGTGTTAATTGAAAGAGTTATGGAAGAAACTGATGGAAAAATTTGGGATGTGCAAGCTGGATTTAGAAAGGGGATGGGGTGTACGGATCAAATCTTTTCCATGCGCATGATAGCGGAGAAGTTTTTGGCTAAAAACCAGAAAGTTTTTTGTGCGTTCTTGGACTTGGAAAAGGCTTATGACAGAGTGGACAGGAACGTGTTATGGCAAACACTGAACTCATTTGGGTTGAGCGCTGGCTTGATACAGGCATTAAGGTCTCTTTATAGGGACTCTAGTGCTTGTGTCAGGATCAACGGGGTCTACTCGGACTGGTTTGGCATTCATAAAGGTGTCAGACAGGGATGTGTGGCTTCCCCGTGGCTGTTTAACCTATTTATGGACAGTTGTTTGCAAACTTTGAAAGTTGAAGAATGTGGGTTGAGAATGGGTGAGTCAACCGTCAAATGCCTTTTGTACGCCGATGATCAAGTCATATTTGCATCGTCGGCGGCCGAGTTGCAAATGATGGTTACTTTAATGAATTGTTCATTGAAAGAAAGGGGTATGAAAGTGAACGCAAGTAAGACGAAAGTGATGGTTTTTGAAAGAGAAGAAAGTAAAACTTTATGTAAAATAAGAATAGAAGGGGAGTTGATTGAGCAAGTGGATGAGTTTGTATATTTGGGATGTTTATTTAGCAGGGATGGTAGATATGATAAGGATATAGAACGACGAGTGAACGCAGGAAATAGAGTGAATGGGGCTCTACACGCTATTGTGAGGAGTCAGAATGTGTCAACTAATGCACGTATGGCAATTCATAATGCTGTGTTAGTACCCACTTTAATGTATGGTAGTGAAAGTTGGGTCTGGCAGAAGAAGCATGAGAGTAGAATAAATGCTGTAGAAATGCGTTCCTTAAGGAGTATGCTAGGGCTGAATCTGAATGACAGGGTGAGAAATAGTGTAATAAGAGAAAAGTGTGGTTTGCAAGATGATGTTGTGACAAGGATTAAGAAAGGAATGCTTCGGTGGTTTGGTCACGTAGAAAGAATGAACGAGGAAAGAGTGACAAAGCAAATTTATGTTGCAGAAGTGAACGGCAGGGTCGGGAAGGGACGCCCTAGACGAAGGTTTATCGACCAGATCGGCGATACATTGAAAATGGGTCAGATTAGGAGTACCCTTAACCGACGAGCGTGTATGCGTAGATATATGGATGTGAAAGAGGCGAGAGAGGTGTGTCAGGATCGCGCCAAATGGAAGTCCGTAGTCTCTGCCTACCCCTCTGGGTGACAGGCGTGAGTGTTTATGTATGTTATGTATGTATAGAAATAAGACTTACAAATAAGCAGCTCCAATTTCGCTTGATAGTAAGTAGATGCTGTACAATATAATCGATATGATTTTATTTTTTTAAACGATTATATATATATACGATCACAGATGCAAAAAAGAGATTTATTTTTCTCTTCAAAAGCTTTTAATACAGTCAAATACGACATGCCCAGTGGTTCTCCTTCTACATTCGCGGTCGTCAACCATCGGTTATGTTAAGGTAGAAGTTTTCTCAAAAATCAAGAAAACGAACAGGAACTGTCACCCGTACTCGTAAGTTCCCTTTATAGTTTTTAAACCCTTCAAAAACCAAGGTTTTTCTTGTAGATACTAGATACCCCAACACTTTATCGACTATGCAGACGTGTGCTATTTCTAGACCTATTGCATAAACTTCTACATTGTTCAAAAGGCGTTCTCCTTAACAACAATTGTATAAGATTTATTTTCAAGTAGCTGTTCCTGCGACTTCGCCCGCGTGTAATTTAGGGTTTTAATTTTTTTGCGAGGAATCCTAATTATTTTCTAAAATAAAAGTAGCCTCAGTTACTCCTTATGATATCAGCTATCTGCCAGTGAAAGTCCCGTCAAAATCAGTCCAGCCGTTTCGGAAATTAGCCGGAACAAACAAACAGACAGACAGACAAAAATTTTAAAAAGTGTATTTTTGTTATATGTACCGTTTATACTTTCATATCCATTTAGTAAAACGCTGTAATTTTGACATTACAAACACTTCAATTTTATTTATTTGTATAGATTTACGAAAATACGACCATATATCTACTTTCGGTTCTGAGCTTATACGGCTTTCTATTGGCGATAGGAGTTGCTCTAGGACCTTATTTACTCTTTTTATATATTAAGGAATCCAATCTTTATTTCTCAAAGAAATTCTTACCTTAAAGATAATTCCAATTATCTATATTCAATAGATAGCGATCTCGTATTTGTAACGTTCTCAAGATTCATATCCTATAGCAAAGTACTGGTTTCTTTAATTTTTCATTAATAATTGCAGTATTATGCACTGAAATGCTCTAACAGCAGATAAGGAACAGCACCGATTGAGCATACATTAAAAAAAAACAAGTTTGACATCATTATCTTGACGAGGAAAACATTTGACTTTTATATTGATTTGGTTTTATATTCTGCATTATATACAATTTGTCTTCTTTATTTTTATACATTTATATGTATATTATATTATATATGTTGTTGCATTATGTGTGTATATTATATTATAGGTGTAAGTAATATGTATGTGAGTATTAAACTATGTGTAATATATCTATATCTATACATTAATAAATCGCTAGAAAAGTCGTGTCTGTAATTCTAATATATTATTGGAAAAATAAGTCCAGGGAACTAAATAAAGGGTTCTGAAGCCAAATTAGTTGTTTTTAGAATTTTTGTCTGTCTGTGTATTACAGATTCACACAAAAACTACTCGACCGATTTACATGAAATCTTGTATATACGTAGTTAGTAACCCGGGGCAACTTGTAGGCTACTTTTTATCCGATTACGGAACTTCGAAAAAAAAAAAGGATAAGTATTTTCCTTCCCTTAGATGTTAATTTTCTATTATATTTGTTGTTGTTGTAGTTGTTGTATATACTTTATTGTACACCACACATATACAACGAATAAATACATTACAGAGAAAACTTAATATATACGTATGTACAATAAGGCGGTCTTATCGCTAAAGAGCGATCTCTTCCAGACAACCTTTGGGCTAAAGAGAAACTGGAATTACGAACAGTAGGAGGTGGTGCGCTTTATGTTACACTTACATACTAATATCTAAATAAACTAAACTATATTTTGTTAAAATACCACAATAATACATAAAAAATAATAATAAAATAAACATACATATTAAT